AAAAAAAAAAAAAAAAAAAAAAAAAAAAAGAAAAACAGAAGGAAACGGCAAAAAAAAAAAGTGAAATCAAATTGACAGTTCACAAAAATGCAAAACTGAACAAGAAGCAGGAAAAAAACTTGAGAAATATTTTTTTCAGTTTGCTTCTTCTCCTCGTTATTCTTTCTTTAAAAAAATTTTTTGTCTTTTTTTGTCTTTTTTTTTTTGGTTTTATTTTATGTTCCCCAAGAGTGACATTTTTGTGATGGTGAAAAAAACACTTTTTTAACTTGTCGTTTGTTTTTTTATTCTCCAAATTTTCTGTCAAATGGTTCTTTTTTTTTAAATTTTGGCTTTCTACTTTTCTGCTTTCTTGCTGTTTTCAACTTTCTTTGGTATAATCTGCAAGAGGGGGGGGAGAAGAAAAAAAAGAAAGAAAAATGGAAACTGGAAAATAAGAAAGAAACTGGTGACAAAAAACTTGGCAATTTGTTTTTGCATTTGGTTTACATTCTGTAAATAATATTCGCTTGATAGGCATAAAAATTATGAATGAACAGAAAAGAAGCAGCTTTAAAAAGACAAGAGAAGAGAAGAAAATGGAAAAAAAAATAAAGTTTAAAATAAAAAACAAAGTTGGTTAGACGGGGAAAAATGGAACATCGGGGGTTATCAGGGTGTTCTAAAATAATGACCAAAGCAGAACAAGTCGACCAAGCGATAATATTGGCCGCTTTAGGTAAGCAATGCTGTCTGTTTTTCCAGCTTATCTCTTGCAGTTTTAACATTATGCTTCTTTAAAAATTTGTCTTATTATGTTCCTAGACTGAGCTTATTTTCCCTGATCTTATTATTTTGCCTTCCGGTAAAACACTGATTCTTTTTTCTTTTATTCTTTCTTGTTTATTTCTTTTGACTGCCTTCGCTGTCCAGCTAAGAGACCAACGACAGTAGGAGATTGGTGATAAAAGTTCCTGATAAAACTTCAAAAAAACAAGAATTTTTGCTTTAAAGACTGTCAAAAATAAGTGGTAATATTTGATACAGATAACTGTACATTTGTTTCCTGCCTTACTCTATAAACCATATGGCAATAACTAAACTGTCGCTCAAGTATAACAAAACAATTAGAATAAAAAGCTTTAGAATTTTTTAATGAAAAACTACAGCAGAATAACAGCTGTACAGAACTGATGATAATAAACTTAAACTGTTAACTGCTTTTCTTATCTAATTTTCTGCTTATAAATCAAAAGTTATATTGTCAAAAGTTGATTATTATTAAAACAAAAACGAAAACTGCAAAGCTATGGTTATCAGCTCAGCTGTTATACGATAAGCTGACTTCAGTATTTTCTACTAAACATTTTTTGATTATTTTTAGATAATTAAAAAATATAAAAAAAAAAATTATTTTTAATTGAATCAAATTCATTTAAAAAAATATTACCTTAAAGATGTTACTATGGAAAACAAGATAAAAAAACCAGAAAAATGGATAATAATTGACAACAAAAATGGTTCTTTTTTTCTTTTTTTTGTGCAACATCATTTACTGCAGACCGATACATCTTCATATGTAATTTTTTTTTTTTT